CACCAGCGTTTCGCAGGGCAGGAGCACCTCGCTCCACCATCCCTGATACACGTACATCTTGTGAAGAACGTGCAATATGTCCCGATGGTGCCGAAGGCGGGTCGGGGGAGGTACACGAACCGCCACCGACGAGTCAGTTGGACCCACGAGCATTGTGGCCATTCTGACCGCCAGATTGGAAATTTCCCGGCTGTCTAGCATTGTAGTTAGACGAAACAGAAGCACCGGGAGGAGAGCCTGTGTGGACCGATGATTGCGGTCATTATGTAGACAGAGCACCAGTGTGATGGGTGTTGTCTGTGGACGGCTGTCGCGAGTTATGAGCAAAATTTCCATTATTGCGACCATTATTCTGGGAGTTACCGTTGTTATGGTAGTCGCCTGCGTGATTTCTACGCGAAGACGAAGAGTGACGCTTGTTACGCCCGCCACCAGCACCTGAACCGGTGTGTGGCTTGCGACGGTAAGACCTCATACGGCCTTGCCAACGTCGGAAAGCGTCAGAGTTGTCGTGCAGCTCACCCAGTTCTGGGTTCAACAGACCGCTAGAATTTGTGAAAGGAGCTGGGCAGTGTTTCATGGAATGGTCATCACCAGAGCGTTCAAACAACGGTTACGGTTCTCTCGAAACGCTTGCGAGCGAGCGTCCTGAGAAAAGAGAGGAGTCCACAAAAAAGGATCACCGGTGTTACGGAAAGAGGAACTGACTTGGTACACATTCGACCAATCGCCTTGTGTGGCGGGCCATGCACTATAATCACGGGAAAACGGATTATCACCGCCGCCCTGAGACTGAACTGCCAAAACAACAGGATTTTGTGCAGAACCCTGTGCCCACCGGCCCGAAGGCGCAGGTGCAGGTGCACGGTTCTGGGAACGCCGGGGCTGCGAAGAACCAGGCGTGGAAGACAAAGAAAAATACTCTGAACCTCCTATAGCGGGGGTTTTGTTGGTGGCCAAAGGCGAGAACGCCTGCCACATTGCATCAATCGAGTCAAACGGTGTCACGGCCGTAGCCAGATCACCAGGGTACAGCATCGGAGCCAAAGACGGAAACTGTTTACTTACAGAATTCCTGACTATCTCAAGCACCATAGACACGCTAAGAGCCAAAACACGCTCAGATCCGGTGACAGAAGAAACCAAAAGGCGGAACGCCCTAAGGTAATCCGCAAACAAGGTCCCATTCGAAACACCAAATTGCTGAAGTCGCAAAAACGACTCCTGTCGATCTCCGACATCGAATTGCTCCGACAGCAGTCGCAGAAGGAGCGTGAAGGCCTCTGGACCCGTGGCTCCTTCATCCAGCCTCCGCTTCACTTGCTGAAAATAATCAGAAATGGAGAGGACAAGGTCGGATGTAGTAGGTTTGTCAGGTGAGATCGCACTCAAAATTCTCTTTTGAAGGGGGCGCTCCCAACCTCGGACAAAATCGGAGTCCATCAAACCGACGCGACGATCATCACACAACATCAAAATATCCGTGAGCGCAGATCGAACGGTGCGAATGAGCTGCTGATATGCATCAGCTGGCAGCAAAGACGCAGGGAAAGGCATAGCGGATACACGTTCAACTTTTTTGAGGTTGAGGGTGATGTACTCACGTTGGACACGAGCAACATGTGCGGCATCAACTGCCGAAGCAGCAGCAGCAACCGTTGCATGGCGAGCGTGAGCAGTGGTGGAAGAAAGCGGCAGAGCACTATCATCGGTGGGCACACTCGCTATGGCAAGAGGCTCTGTTTTTACAGACGGTGGGGCAGCTTCAACAGCAACCCCACTGGGTTCGGTCTTAATAGACTTTGTGTCTGCAACATCAACACCACGGAAGTCTGTCAACTTGACAGACTTGTCACTACGCAACACAGTGTTCGAAAACACAAGATGACCATCACGCAGAAGAGCGTTAAGACGATCATCAGAAGCAACATCCACGAGAGACGGTACTACTTGCCTGGAAGACCGGCCCGAAGAAGCCTTCCGAGGAAGACTACGCTCCGAGGCGGAGTCCGAGGATGCTCCTCCAGCGGCGTCCGAAGACGGGCGAGAGGTGCGGCTCTTCTTCTTGACCACCTTCTTGTCCACGCGCTCCGAAGAGCTGGACGCCGAAGAAGACGCTGGAGCACGGCCGCGATGGGAGAGAGCAGATCCGCGGCGGTGGCTGCTATCGCTGTCGCCAGAGCTGCCGCACGGCTAATCTCCTATCCTCCATGATATGACGAACAGCGAACCGTTCGAAAATAGCTGCTTCACAGCAGCATCCATCGCATGAAAGTACAAGCATATGGACAGGATGGGTAGTGTTAGCAAGAGCTATCACGCCCAGAATTATTGCAAGCGCTTGCTCCCAATCACTCCTGAGTGTTGCTACTCGTAGAGTTCAAGGGCAGCAGCAGTAGCTGCACGTTCATGAGCGGAAGAAAGCATGGGAGGCGGAGCAGGCACATGGTTAGCAGAAGCTACAGCGCGTGCATTGCGAGCCTGGTGACGATTATCACGAGCAAGCGCCTGCTCTCTGTTCTCTTAGAGGTATAACTCTGAGAAGCGGACACTCGGGGCGGCGATCACACTACATGTAGCATCAGTATGCGCCGACCGAGCGCCCGCGCTGCTTCCCCGAACAGGAATCAGCGATTTTGCTACATGGTTAATAGCAGGCGTATCGCAACGCACACCTCGGGAGGTGTTGATGGTCCTTGGTGCGGCTGAGCGCACATCAGAACGAGCACTAACTAGAGCTGCTAGGTGCAACTGCGAGTGCGGAGGGGTGTTGTACAGCGTCAGAAAAATGACAGTCCCGTCAGCAAAAGACGGGACAAGAGACACTTCACGCGAAGCGAGTGTCGGTCCTATTGCGACTGAACGCACATCGGAAGTTCCTAGTGCGACTGAACGCACATCGGAGGGGTGTGTGGCTACTAAGCGGAACCAGTGGCCACCACCACATCATCACCAGACACAGCAGTCTCAAAAGGAGACGGAGATGTTCCGGTGGGGGTATGAACGGCATCAACAGCAGAACCAGTGGATACAAAGGGGGCAGCCGGTTTACGCGCACGCACACTGCTCGGGGCTATAGCCCCACGAGCACGCTCATCCTTTTGGAAAGAGCGGACACGCCTGGCCTCAGCGCGAAGCTCAGACAGACGTGCGGCCTCTTCTTGAGGATCAGCGGCGCGAGCACCAACACCATAATGCGGTGCATACAGAGCGTGGTCGAAAAAGACAGAGGCGACTGCAGGATCAACATGTGATACAGCAGGCAGCGCCTCTGGCGAACCAGGCGGTGGGAGAGGAACCGACTGCAGAGAACTGGCAGGGCTGGTGGACTCTGAGTCCTCGCTGCCGTCCCTACGATGAGACATACCAAGAAAGGAAAGCAGGAGCAAGACCGCGCGGTAGAGATGTTTAGCCAGTGGAGCAAAAACGAGCTCTCACGCTAGCAACTGAGAAACCAAAGAGCCGAGGGAAGGCTAAAATCCTTTACTGCAGACACGCCAAATGTTGTGGGATTTCACGCGTAGCGATCCCTGAAGACCCTGATGAAGACTCACTTGTTTATTAATCTCTTGGAACAGCAGTGCTTGCTGTTGCTTTGCTCTCAAAGGTAGACTGAGCACAGAGGGGGAGGACATGCTCCCTCTAAAAGGGGTCACAAAGGTCCTGTCCCCTGTTTTATCCTTCCATCGGGAGTTACATCTCCCGCACTTTCCTCTGGGAATTACTCCGCAATACCGTTGGCACTGGCTACATTCAAATCCCATAACATACGGTACATGGTAGATATTCATGTGACACTAAAAAACAAACGATTTACCACTGCTGCCGCCGACTTGACTGACGGATTACAGCAGGTTTCGGCAATACAGCAGTAGTTCGGGGACACAGCAGTGGTACTCTCGGCATGTATGTGCCCATGTACAACTTCATGTGTAGAGGTAGACTACAGCAGTACTGCTGTATGCAGTGGGTAACATTAGCACCGTGGCACCAGCATGCTTCGAAATGTATACTTGTACAGAGTCGGAGGTCCTGATACAAGAATTGGGACGCACATGTGGGTATCAATTTTTGAATCATGAATACCACCCGACACATGCTTCGACTTGCAGTGCGAGACGAAGAGTTGGGGTGGTACTGCGGGTATTGCGGGTGGGAGCGAGTGCGGCGAGAGACGAGAGAAAGGGGACGAGAGCGACACACGCACACACCAGGCGGACACACCAGGCGGACACGAAGACTATGTAGACTACTCTATGTAGACAGATGGCGAGAGAGACAAAAACAAGCTTCTCACACACCTACTGCTGCAACCTCGAGGCCCGAGACATGAGTCTTCTCCTTCCAGCAACCTGGCTGACGCTATCCAGCAAGTAGGGCATGCTCTCGGCATCTTGCTGCTTCGCGCTTGCTCGCCTTGGCCTGAGGTGTTGCCTGACGGCCTACCGAGCAGGGAAACCGACTGCACCTGGACCTACAGCAGCGCCGTTAACCGCCCTGTTTGCTGAATCCTGACAGGATTTGCCCTTGGTGACCACTACCCCTCTCTATGTTGGGCCCTACCATGGTGTCGCGCGTGTGGGGCCGTTGCCTGTGGCGTGCGTGGTGTGTTTGAAGGGGCATGCCCACTCGCCATCACATGCGGCGAGATTGATTTGGAAAGTTGCCTTGCAGCTTGCAGCGCGTTTAAAATGAAGATGTTGGTTCCAAATATTTGACACTAAATATTTGGAAACTTTGGAACGAAAATTTGGAACAATAATAAATAAAACGGCCCTAAACAGGGTCCGCTACTGCTGTACCACGGTACGTTGGAAGATGGGATTTGGATTTTGGAGGTGGACGGGGTAAACGCGGTATGCATGCGAATATGTACCGCATCGTCATACATTTGAGGCTTCATCTTCACAGACTGCTTGACTCTCGCTCGACCTCTGAGACACAGACTAGCTTGAAAAGGGAAGGACAGAGGCAGTCCGTCTCGTTTGCTTCTGGTGACGATGGTGCCGTCTCCTTCGTTGCGGTACCGACGGAGGAGGAGTCGTTTTCGGGCAGCTGTGGCGGTTGGTGCGGCAGTGGCGGCAGGTTTGGCGGCACCTCTTCTTGCTGTTGCCGCTACGGCGCCCGCTGCGGCCGCCCAGGAAGTCGTCGACCTGCCAGAGCTCACGGGTAACCGTGGGCAGACTCAAGACCACGGACGGGTGGACCCTGAGCCACGGCAACGTCCTGGGAAGGGGCCAGGAGGTTACAACGGGTTCAGCGCTCACCCCATGATAGACGTGGGTGAGGAGTGTGTACCTAGCCCTCTCTGGGTCAAAGACGTCGACAAGTCGAGCTATGAGCTGGGGTGCGAAGAGATCGAGGTACGTACGCATACATTTTCTGCTATTTAGTCTGGTGCATGTATATCATGAGTCTACCTCCAAACGCCCCGTGTGAAATCAAGATAACTTCAAACCAGTCTAAATGCAAGTCAATAGAGCCAGAACGGCAGGCGCTCTAATCAGGCCATTTTTTTTAGCGTTCTAACGTTCTAACGGCACCGCGAAGAATGCGTCGTGTGTGCTGGCACCTTCAGGTTTGCTTCTTGGATGGTGATATCGACCATATCGTATGTAGTCTATAGAAACTACGCCCATCTGCTCTCTGCAAATAAATAAATCTTCGCAAATTGAAAATTGACCGACACACCCAGTGTCTTGCACTACAGATAGGGCCCGGAGATAAGAAACGCCAAAATCGGATCGAGCCTCAATTTGTTTTTCTGGGCTGAAGGGCCAGCCGAAGTCGACCAACTTCTTCAACGGATTTCTTATTCCTTTGGACTGTCGGGTCCTGCTAATTCTCTTATTTTCTTGTTTCTGGTGATGGCGAAGAAAACAAAAACAACACACCAATGACCAAGCCTTCATGCAGCATTAAACCGACAGCTCGGTGTGGTGAACATTGGGGGTCGTGGCAGTACAGAAGTACAGCAGCAATGGGTAGCGCAGCCCGCAGCGGTGCTGGGGTGCGGGGGGCGCCGCGAAAATGATCACTCTCTACATAGACTACCCCAAAAAAATACTTGACATGAGCTAGGTAGGGGGTGGGAGCATGGCAGCAGCAGCAGCAGCAGCAGGAGTGAGTGGAACGTTTCTTTGGACACGCGCCCCCAGTTTCTACCCCTTGCTTCTTTTGTCTTGGTATTGCACGGCCATCTTTCTTATTGGGACGTTTCTTTTGTTGTGGCCGAGATTGCGCTGAGTTTTTGGCCTTTTTTCTCATTTTCCGTCAATACTTGGGCCTTTTATTCTTCACTGAATTTTTCTTAACTGCGGGCCCCGTCTGTACTTGTGCTCGCCGCCACCGACCCCAATCTCCTGAACTGAACTGTGGGTCGACAGCAGCAGTAGTTGATGCTGCTGACGACCCGCCGTTCAGGGATTTACGGTCCGCGGCGGTGAGTACAAGCAGGTCTTGGGCATCGGTCAAATTTATTTGCGGAGATTTACGGAGACATATTTATTGGCCATTACCCCGATCGATCCTCGATATCACCGCCCAAGAAGCAAACCAAACGCGCCAGCACACACGACGCCTCTTTATGGTGTCCTCTACTGATAGCAGAACTTACGTGCAGTGAAAAAAAGCGGGAGCGTTGCGGGAAGGTTGATTCATTCTTCTTGTGCATTGGACTAGTCTCCAAAGGGTTGTGAGTTCCCCGCTAGAACGCGTGCGTGTTGCTGTTGGAGAAACCAGACGACAACAATCATCCAAATCATCTACGCCACATCCTCGAATCAAGTGTCGGTGAACTCAAAAGCCCGGAGTAGCGTCGTGCCTCTAGGCGTGCGAACGAAGAACCCCAATGCTCGACGGACACGAATTGCGGAACAAGTCGGAGCTCGCAAGTAGCTGATGAGATGAGAGTGTTCCGTTCTATCCCCTGCCACCGTTCCACTGCGACTTTTCGACATTCATTCGTTCTATCTCGCACGCAAAACTACATGAACCAAATCGACGTTTGTTTCGGGGTGCGTTTAAACTCCCTCGAGCGCACGTCCAGCTCCTCTGCCTTCTCCTCCTCCCCCTCTTCCTCCTCCTTTTCATCCCCTCCCCCTCGTTTTCTCCCCCGTACCCCGACCCCTACCCCCTACCTCCCTCTTGCTCACTTCCCTCCCCCCCTCTTCGCTGAAGTCCGAGTTAACCTCTTCTACGCGCCGAAAACATATTTGGCCATAATCTTGCGCCGCAGCAGCCTAGGCTACCCCCGTGAGGGTGCGCTGACCATGCTCTCCCTCTCATCGCCTACTTGTAGGTGTTGTACGCCGTAAAGAGCGCGGATAGACGCGGCGAGCCCGCACGCGCGCACACGGCTATAGGGGGCACACACAGATGCACAATAAGCCCCCTACAGAACATGGTGCCCCATTTATTTACTGGAATTACGGTTTCATCTTGAACTTATTATAGCGTTTGGGGGGGGTGGGGGTGGTCACTTCATACGCACCCCCCCAAAAAAAATCATCCCACATCAAAAAGGGATATGTACCTACAATATAGGTGTGCAAAATATCGGGCACCCTGTCGCGACATATTCTGTTTCTAGATCCTGGCGGGTTCCAAGATGTTAAGTCTTTAGACTACATTGAGAAAGGTAGTGCTGAACTGAAAATGGTATGTATTGTCAAAAAAGGTTAGTCAGTACCATACCTATGCGAAAGAAGGGTTGCAGAACCGCATCTGGTCACCGAAGTGTAAGGTGCTTTGCTCGTGCAAGGCGAACACGGAACGGGCCCGAAGACAAGAATTTTTTTCAGAAAAACAGCTTCAAACGTTCGTAGAAATAATAGAAATTGGCCTTGTACGAAACACACCTCAATCTAGGGCGTACCGTGTGGTATGACACAGGAACGACCGGTACCCCAACAAGAAACGGTAGCTATGGACGTGTGTTGAATTGGAAACATCACCACTTATATGTAGATACCTAGGCCACCGTTGCCGGTACAATGGCTAGATAAAGCCAACGCCGTCGGAGCGTGGGTGCCGCTAGGAGTCACCATGAGAAAGGGAGTGAGACATTCAACCCAGGAGGGTGATCACCCCCGCTCGATGTTCGCCACACCGAGAATTTCGGGCCAATGGCGCATGAAAGATGAAAGCTTGGTGTGTTGCGTTCTTGGCAAGAGATGAGAGAATAGGAAGAAGGATGCCAAGGCCCCCCAATGCGAAGGTGTACCGATTCTGGTAAAAGTCAATCGACGGATACCCTGCGAATCGGGTCCTCCTTAACACTCCACCCACAGAATTTACCCTCAACTGGGAACCTCTTGTGGCCAGGACGGGTAATTCGATGGAAGTGTCACAAGGTTCTTTATAGGATCGATTCCAAGAGGTGTTCTCAGGACTGACACACATTGTGTCCATGGGAAAATGTCCAAGTCAGGAGAAAAAATGTGCACCCAAGGAGATTCGAACCAGTATCCTGCTGACGCCATATGCGAAGGTGTACCGATTCTGGTAAAAGTCAATCGACGGCCGCTGACGCCAACTATAAAGGAGGTGAAGCCGTGGACGGTAGCTTGCTCCTAGAGATAGATGAAGGTAGGTTCTGTCGTTGACACGCTTGTCCACGACCACGTTGAGATGGGAAAGTTGCTTGTTATTGCTGAGAGACTATCAGCAAAGGTCTGAGGTGAAGTGGGGATCCAACTTCACCTCAGGGGGTACGCAGACTAGACAAATTCTAAGAGGGTAGGTGTCTGAAGGGTATACCTCCGGGGACCGACCCACATCCTATCAACAATAAGATGTACCCTATTTAAGCTAGCAGCCACACTCCTTAACACCAAGTAGAAATATGGACGACGTCGGCAAGTCTTGGGACACAAAGTATGGAACGGACCCACCCGTTGTTTCTCTTTTTTTTCTTCTGGCCTGTTCGGCACTTGGTGAATCAGGGTGGTTGTTGTCATCAACCACCCGGGATCTTGAATCGAAATCTACATGGAATCTCGATATCGAGGGTAGATTGGGCGTCGTGTCCGAGTACAACACACAAAAAACGGTGCAGCCGGAGGTATGAACATGTCGTTCACGCCAGCACCGCCGAGACAACGATCTCGGGAAAACTCTGTACATTTTTCGTATGATGTTTCTAAAATGTTTGTGTTTGGCTGGCTCTGTGTCTGGTGCGGGAAACGTGGCCCAGGCTATGCTGGCAAACAACAAGAGGTTCGTCGGGGAGGGTCGTGTGCGAAAAGTGTACTTGGCGGAGTACGGGGATCAGACGGTAGCTGTGAAGGTACTCCAGCACCAAGACCAAGTTAACCGGCATCGAATCGAGGTGGCAACCATGGATGCGGTGAGTTGGTTGAAAGAGTGGGCCTGTCGCTCGCCCAAGACGAAACCTTTGTGTTCGCATTTTTGTAGACCCGTTGAGGGCTGCACCTGTGCATCATTTTTTCTTCACGGTTGATTGTCTAGATGTGTTTTTCCCTGGTCCATACATACATGTCCTAAAGGTATTCGCTTTTCCTCTTTGCCCGTTTGTTTTCTCCAGAGACCGTGGTACCTGGGCTCGTCCGTTGATTTTTCCCCAAACCGTCTGAATACCGGCGTGGTTCATTGGTGACATGGACGTACCGTCAAACGTGGGGCGTTTTGTGCCTTCACATTTTGGTGTTTTATCGTAAGTGCGCCCCTCGTCGGTTGGGTATGGCTGGGTGTGAGGACGACCTACTATCACCCCATGCCCAACATATCCCCGGTTTGTTGGGTGACAGGAATTTCCTCGTTGTACCCCTTACTTGACTTATCTCCCCCCCCCCCGGGCACTGCACCATTGCACCAACCTCCCGCGAGCGATGACGTGCATTTGCTGGCTCGGGTGACACGCTTTGAGTTGTGTTGTTTTGCGTTGTCTTTGTTGTTGTTTGTTTGTTGTTTGTCGCTACGGCGTGTGTCTTTCTCTGTCTGTGTCTTTCTCCTACTCTTTCCCTTCTCTCCGTCTGTTTTCTTCTTTTTCTTTTTCTTTTTCTTTCTTGTTCCAATCTACGGTTACCTCGCATAGCGTGTAGAGGCGAGCGGAGTGGCCTAGACTATCTGTCGTTGACTTCTATTGGCTTGCGGACCCATCGGGTCCATTTTGTTTTCGTATACCTTTTTTTGGGTAAGTTAGCCTGTGACCACGGGAATCGACCCCGTCAATCAGGTGTTAGACTCGTACGGACAGAAGAAGGTACTGGGCAGAGAGAATGGAACGGTTTTTAATGTGAATACAACAAAACAACAACAACAACAACAACAACAACAACAACATATTAGTTTAGTATACATGGCGCTTTCCACCAAAACACCGTTGACCCCCCCGACCCCTGCTCGTCTGTCTTGACGCCGATCGCGGGAGCAGGTCAGAGGTAATCCTCACATCGTCCAAACACTGGGCATATGCAACACCACGGTGGTAACCGAAGCCTTCACGCTTACTCTTTCATCCGCCATGCGCAAGCGCACGACGGCTCTACCGATCGGCGAGGCCGTCACGATGTCCTTGGACGCCGTGAGAGGCCTGCAAGCCCTCCACGAGGCTATCGGAGGCCCAATCGTACACTTTGACCTGAAACCGCCCCAGATTCTGGTGACAGGCATCGGGCAGGTGAAGCTCAACGACTTCAACGTTGCCTGGTTCATGAGCCGAGGGCCGGACGGGAAGCCGTGTCCATTCAATATGGGTATCGAACATCGCGGGCAAACCTCACCCTGGAGATCCCCTGAGTACCACGCCCGAAAGGTCAGCGACAGCAGTAGGGATCGGTCGGTTCAAAGCGTTTGTTCCATTGGTCGTTTCACTATAGCGGTCGCCGAGGAAGCCGCTTGCAGCAGTCAACTCCTGGTAGACGGAAGGCGACAGCTAGCTGTATTTACTGACCACCCTACCGGAGCATATAATGTATTATCTGGTCGCTATTTTTTCTAGCGATTGTCACACGCCTTAGACTATATCGCACGCGATATTGTAGGATTGAACGACGACAGGCTGATGACGACGAGGAACTTCGTCAACGGTGTGACGATGAGGACAACCAGGAGGTAAGTGGCCACCCCCCTCACTCAGCCCGTGCGCTGGGGACCCCCCGGAATATACCTACACGCTGGCGATGGCGAGTACCACGGGCAACCCCGACGGGCTTCAACTTCTCTCCAGCAGAGGTCAACATCAAAAGCAGAACACCTCCGGAGAACGTGAAGATCGCTGAATATTTATGCGGCTGGCATGAGCTGTAATTCTGCGGAACACGTCACGTCTCCATCTATCGTGTCGGTTGCCAGGTCGAGGCTTCACCTATTGACTGACCTCAAGATGTCTGAACATGACCATCACCGATAGGCTGGTGGGCTGTGAAGAGGCGTCGGTTCCGTCTTCTGAGGCACTCGTACGTTCGTCCCCACGACGCGATGACACAACATACTTGCGGGATTCGTCCTGCATGGTCCCAGCTAGTGCGCATGAAGGTTTCACCCAGGTTACATGCTCACGTCCAGCATCAATGGGAATACAACACACGCACAGTTGGACAGTACGCATGCCTTGTTCCAACAGCGTTCGTCGCACCCCTTTTGTTTTTGCCCCCTTTCATTGTCGTTTGGAACCCTTTTTAGCCCATGACGGAGAAAGTAGATATCTACTCGATGGGTCTAATCTTCCTATTAATAATAGCTGGCGACGGCATGCGCATGCCAGTGGCGCAAGAGTCGAAGGATGATGTCCCCGTGTTCGCCACACCGTGGCACAGGAGCTACTATGAGGTGCGTGAGCTTAGATTGTTTTGCTACTCGGCTGAACGCCCCCCACTCTTCGGGCGGGACAGGATTATGCGAACAGTATAGTGGTCAGCGGGTGTTGTTGTGTGTTTTCATATGTGTGTGTGAATCCCATACCGAGTCTGCCTAGTTTAAGTGCAAAAAGCGGTTACCATTACGTCGTGCAGCATGTGTGCCACTCTGCCGTTTGTACTCGTCGTTTCCACGGTCGAACACGGCAGTTATCGGTCTGAAAGGCTCGCTAAGACCTAAGTACGTTTTTCGTCAGTTACAAACACAAAGAGTCGACAGGCGATTTGAACGGTTTGTGTAGATCGGCCAGTAGCCCTTATGACAGATCGTTTGGAAGCACTGCGACCGATCGACAATTCCCCCCCCAGTTACGCCAGCCCTCGATAATTACCCATGTTCGTTGTTATGCCTACCCTGCCTGACAACCCCGTGGACACCAACACGCTTTCCGGCCTTGGCAAGATCGCGCAAGACATGATTGTTGAGGAGGCCAACCGAAGACCCTCCGCTCGCCAAGTCGCTGAGCGGCTAGACGTGATCCTCCACGAGTTACCCTGATTCCGTTAGACAACACATCAGTTTCGTGTCCAACCGATTCAAGCAAGTGTGTTTGTGCACCAAGATTCGTTCCATTATTGCCCGGCCATGAGAGAACGAGGGCTTATAAAAGGACTCTGGCCCTCCATTTTGTTTCGTCGTCGTCGTCGTCGTCGTCGTCGTGGTTGCGGTCGTCGTCGACATTCACTGCATCACGCTAAGCATAAACCCTCTTGCAAAGTTCTGGAGGTCTGCTCTGTCGCTTGATTCGAGATTGCGGACTTGGTCAAGCCCTTGTTGTCGCGGAAAGTCACGCAGCTATGCATAGTTTCGGGGGGCAAAGATGTTTCACCGCCAACCATCCATGGTGATGGTCTCGTGTGTCGTGGAGGTATGAAACAAATGAAAATTTCCGAGTTGGGCAGACTAGCGTAAATATGTACGTAGTAGTCTTCTGCCGCACAATGTACAGCTGTGGCGGGAGTGTGCATCATGCTTCGGAGTACGTTGTGTACGTACATGGTTTGCCGAGCACGTTCGCAGGGATGCAGCATAGATAGGTGGCCTCAGGTGCAGACTAATAAGTTGTACGGCGATTGTTGTTGTTGTTGTTGTCTTCACATTAAAAACCGTTCCGATCTCTCTCTACCCAAAACCTTCGTATGCCCGTACTGATCCAACACTCGACGCGGTCGATTCCCGTGGTCACAGGTTAAACCCTAAAAATGTACACTCAAATAAACTGGCCCCGAGGGGTCCGCAAGTCAATAGAAATCAACGACAGATATTCTGGAGTCCTCCACTCCCTCTGCGCGCTATGCGAGGTATCAACTGAGACTAGGAGTCACTATCATGGGCCGGAGAGAAATAGGTACACCCCCTTGGTTCAATCTTGGTACTTCACAACGCAAGCAGAGACAAGGCCATCTGGCACAGAAAAAGAGAGAAAAAGAGAAAAAATACAAAATGGAAACAGTAAGAAGAAGAGAAAATAAAATGAAACTAAAATGAAAAAGAGCGAGGACAAAAAGGGACCAGGCCGAAAATAACAAGAACGGCGATTAAACAAGCTTTAGTGGATAAAAGGTTGTCAGCAGTGCAGTAGTACTTCGGTTTTGGGGGAAAGAGGATGGTTCTGAACGTCGCAGGAATGGGAAAAACAACCGGTTTCCGCCAGGTTCCAAGCAGGGGGGGAGCGTAACTTTCGCCACACGCATCGCTCCGCCAACTAACGGTGGGGTTTGTGCTGGAGGACGGAGATGCAAAAGAGTGACACCCTGAGATGGGAACCCTGCACTTTCATGTTGCACCTGTTCGCTACCGGCTTGCTACGTTGTGACGGAAAAATGAACAATGAATTTCTTTCCATTATTTTTTCAATCTTGCTCAATCAAAGGACGGCTTATCGCGTTTGCTCTGTCTTGTCCGTTCTCTGAGCTTACGGAAGCTAAACGCAAGAGATCGCGGTCGTGCCTTCGCACGACCTGGGCCTCGACTTCTGCTCTAAGGATCTTCAACGAAGCGACACCGGTGCCGGCGGCAGGGATTGTACCGGCCCATACCAGCATCACGTTCGTTGTCGACTCTGTTTTTCCTGTACGTCACTGATGATTGCGATTTTTTATGTCGTTGTCCTGTTGTTAGTTTGTTTTTGGTACAACAGCCGTGAACTCGAGAAACGATATGAACAAAGGGCGACTCACTTCTTGCGGTGCAATCGATCGTGTTGTGAGGTCTTCCGAGTTATCGACCAGAAAGAAAAACTCTCTTGTGACGAACGGCCATTGGTATCGTCACGCGTCACACACACGCACAATTTGCCCGAAATGTAGTACAGCAATAGCTTACCTTCCCGCCGATTTGGAGTGATTATTGTGAATTTCTCGTTCTCTGCGGAAAGTGAAACTGAAACAAGAGCAACTGCAAAATCATACCCACTGCGAGCTGTGTGTATGATTGGTCTTGTGTAGCGGCTGATAGGGGTGGCGAGCGAGTCGTGTAGGGCGAGACTCGGATGGCGGGCAAGAGTAAAATTTAACTTTCAAGCAGTGTGTTCGGCCCAAACACACTCTTCTTACTATACCCTGCCGGCCGTGGTGTGGCAGCACCTAAACTGAACCCTTTCGCCTTCGCGATGGAACCACGGTACGCCTCCCCGGCCTGCCCCCCCCGTCCCTGGGGTAGGCCGAGGTTCCGCAAGTGGATCTAGACCTCGAAAGACCACCCAGCAAAGACGGATATTCGGTCCCTAGCACTGTTGAGAGGGGGATCCTGAGTTTGGCGGTTGGGAGTTACTGCTGTCGTGAGATCGGGGTAGCTCGTGAACCGCCAGCTTTGGTAACTGCAAAATGAGACTGGATCCTAACGCCCCGGCTTGGACACCGGGGCTATGCAGCAGCAGAGAGCACGGTGAGGGTGGCGGAGTGACCGCACGCCGTGGGGGTATGCCCCAGAGAGAGGAAAGGAGAGAGTCCAGAGATGGAGGACCACACCGCTCCGGGACAAGAAGACAACTCTATGGGAAACAAGGCAAGGACCGGGGTAACTATCACCTTAGCCCGAGAGTTCGCAAGAAAAAAGAAAAAAAAGAAAAAAAGAGGGGGAGATGGAGGAAAAGGAGGGGTCGGGCGGCGCGTAGGCTAGCTAAGAGATTTTCGCGCGCCGCGAGAAAGAGACAGCAGGGTCAACTTCTTAGGGTAGCAACCTGGAATGTGCGGACTTTGGCTTTAAACGGGGCCAATGGATACGGGCGAGCCTACAGCATTCTACACGAGGCAGCGAGACAAGACGTATCGGTGGTAGGAATGCAGGAGACACGGAGGGCAGGTCGAACGGAATTTGCAGCAGCGGGTTTCCGGGTGTTCTGCTGTGGCACGGAGACTGGTGGAGTCCATGGTGTGGGGATAGCCGTCAAAGAGTCACTGTGCAAGACATCCACGTTCACTACCGAGTTTATCGACGAACGCCTTATTGCCATGAGGTTTCTGTTGGCAGGCCACCGTGGAGCGGTCAACTTCGTAGCCGCGTATGCTCCAACCGAACCTTCAACCGCCGATAGCAAGCGCGTGTTCTGGGGAAAACTTGACAGTCTCGCGCGGAGGATCCCTTCCAAAGAATATGTGTATGTCTTATTGGACGCCAACGCGCGGACGGGAGATAGGTTGGACGGAGGGGACGGAAGGGTATTAGGAATGTACGGGCGTGATGAGCTCAATGACAATGGCATGCTACTGTTGAATTTCGCAACGGAAAACAGGCTAGCTCTCACGAACACGTTCTTCGAGACGCGCAAGGGCGGAATATGGCACACATACAACGGTGTGTCGGGAAACGATTGCAAGCGCCTTGACTACATTTCAAGCCAACAACATCCTCCCGGAGGAACAGTGCGGATTTCGACCCGGGCGATCCACCGTCGACATGCTGTTCGTCGTGCGCCGCCTCCAGGAGCTGGGGCGGAGAAAGAAAATACCGCTCTACATGTGCTTCGTCGACTTGAAGAAGGCGTATGATTCGGTGGACCGAGAGATGCTATGGAAGGTGCTGGCCAGGGCCGGGATTCCCGCGAAGCTAATCAAAGCCATCCGCCAATTCCACGATGGAATGCGGGCCCGGGTGCGCATGGACGACGGAGAACTATCGGACTGGTTCTTCGTCAAACAGGGTGTGCGACAAGGATGTGTGCTATCCCCACTGCTGTTCAACATCTTCTTCGCCGAGGTCCTCGAGGTCGTCGTTATCCGATTCAGCGAGGATGATGTTGTTCTGCAGAACCTGGTGTGCTTGGAGGAGGGGAAGACGGAAGCGGGGGGGGGGGGGGACACACCCCTTGACCGAGTACGGAGGGCAGTATGGGGGATGCTGTATGCCGATGATGCCGGCGTCGTATCGAGGTCTGCAGAAGGACTGGCGAGAATGATGACCATCATCGTTGAGGTGTTCGGAGAGTTCGGGCTAACGGTGTCGGAGAAGAAGACGGAGACGCTCCTGATGCGCGCGAAGGACAAGTCGACTACAACATCACAGCCCCCCCCGCCTCCACCGCTCACCATCGAAGCCGCGGGACAGAAATACGCCCAGACGACCGAGTTCCGGTACCTCGGTGGCCTCGTCAACGAACATGGCGACCTCACCCGGGAGATCAGCTACAGGAGCATAGGAGCGTGGGCGTGCCTCAGGCGATATGGCCAGGAGCTCTTCGACAGACCGAAAGAGCTATTCCGACTCAAGATCCGCCTCCTCCAGGCGGAGGCGATGGAGGCACTGCTGTACGGCTGCATGACATGGTCACCACTCAGCGGCCACTATCAGACGCTGCGGTCGACACACCACCGACTGCTCCTTCGAGTTATCGGGTACAAGCGCAAGAAAGACACCTACCGGCAGCTCTCTTACGCCCAGACGCTGAAGACGGTCGAATGCCAGAGCGTTGAAGCCACGATCCGACAACGACGCCTACTGTTCGCGGGAGCACTGGCAAGGCAGCCGGACGGGCGACTCCCGAAACGACTGATGCTCGGCGAGCTGGCGGGGGGGGAGAAGCTGATCGATAATTCGGGTGGCTCAGTTGTGTGTGATGGGAGCGTAGAGCAGCTCGGCCATGACGGGCCGCACGGGTAGGTAAAGACGTGTAGACGTGGTGAAAAACGTGTTGTATTCATCGGGGGCGTGCTTGAGCTCGTCATTCCATCACGGCATCAAGTCACGCATAACGCTTTAATACCCAGAACGAATCTCCATGAATCTCCACCAATCTACTACACTCCCAAGGAAAACACAAAGAAACTTCTTGTCCCTCCGTAGTTCGTCACTGCAATCCCCGCATATGTATACGCAATATACCACCCCCATGCTATGCTACGAGTATATCGAATAGCCCCCCTGCTCGTATGCATCGTCATGCTCCAACAAAATATCAAAGTCATCCTTATCATACCAGTTCAATCCCAAAACAAATCAAAACCAAGACAAAATCGAAAACTCCAACACCAAAACAATACCGCCTCCAAAAACAATCAATCGCATACCAACTCTTCCAAATCATCAAGAAAAATCCCAAACATTAACCTTCCAAAACACTACCATCTCCACTTGACCCTCTCTAGCTCTTGTTCAAACTCGTACATATCCTCTCTCTTCCACTCAACGGCAAATCACGATTTGATCCCAAAACACCTCTGTCACTGCAAATTCATCACAAAGTCTCTGTGCAACGCAAAAGATTCCTTGCTGATAGCCTTCGTCAAGAAATCTGCATGCTGAAACTCCGACGACACATGAGTAATCGAAATCTCTTTCCTCTCTACCAGTTCCCTGATAAAGTGATGCCGTACATCAATGTGCTTCGAGTTTGAGTTCGTGATCGGGTTGTGCGCAATCTGAATCGCTCCCTGATTATCCTCGAAGATTTGAATGCACGGCATACCTGCATCTGGCAACATAAAACGCCAAACTTGCCTCAAGAAAAGCACCTCCTTCAAGACGTCGGCAATTGCCACATACTCTGCTTCCGTTGTGGAAAGCGTAACGCACTTCTGCGTCCTCGAAAACCAAGTCACACCCCCACCCCCACACATCACTAGTCCTCCTGAAACCGACCTACGGTCTGCT